AATTTTTAAAAATATAAAAATTATTTAGTATTTTATTTTATTAATTCAAATTAATATATAAAAATATTTTTATAATTATTCGTTAATTTGAATTTATAAAATAAAGTATCAAATTTTTAAAAATTTACAGATTTTATTTATATATAAGAACTTTAAATTTGATAATTAAATTGTTGAAATTTAATATAAACTATAAGTTATTGAATAAAATAAGTTTTGATAATCTATCTTGAGTTAATCACCTATACACTGAACCAATCATATCTTTTAATAGTATCATGTCAGTTGCTCTTTTAATAAAATAAAAATAAAATAAAATAATTTTAAAAATATGATTAATTGCTGGTGTAAAAAATTTTACACTGATAATATATGGATAATTAAGTCATCTTTCTTTGGGAGTAAACAAATTTTTCTTCTGTTTCTAAAAGGTGATTTAAGAAAATGAAAAGAAAATTGTGTTACTCCACTCGCGCTGATGCTTAATAACATGTATGAAAGGGAAATATCGTACGTCGAACTTTTTCTTCTATGAAAGCGGCTAAAGTTGTTGGAATTTTGACTAATTAAATACTCATACAGGATCGGAGATACGTTAGCTTGTTGACAAAATTGACTAAATCTGATTCCGTGCATGTGAGCTGGCCAAGAATAAGGCTAATAAAGCTTACTCCTATTCAGTGTTTTCAACCCTAAACCTTAAATATGTTTTAAAAATTAGATCAAACTTATTGAATTGAGAATTGGTGGTCTAGTCGGTCAGAATTTTGAGTTGAATCAGTTATGTATTCAATCCGTTTTAAATCAGAGTAAATCAGTCAATTTTCCAGTTTAACCAGTAAACCAGTGAGTCAAAAAAATTCAAAAAAAATAATTAAAATAATGTTTTTTATGTATTTTTTTATACAAAATAAAAAATAGAGATAATTTTAAATAAAATGAAAATTAAAATTTAAGATAGAATATGAATTTATTAAAATTTATTAATATAAAATATATTTAACATGAATATTTTTTTAAAAAAATTAATAAAAATTGGATCATGCAGTTCAATTAGTGACCTACCAGTTCAATCTTTGACTTACTGATCAAATATCTTAACCGATTTGATGATCCGGTTTTTAAAATTATGGTCCCACTAATGAAAAAATGTTTTTAACTTTTACAAAGTAAAAAAGTATGTACATCGAGTGAAAACTAATCTTTGCAGTGTAAAAAAATTTCGGCTCAATAACATTCACGAAAACTATCTCAAAGGACCGTAGATACTCGATAAAGAAAGGGGAAAAAAAATAGAAAGATTGAAGAAGGAAGACTATTAAATCATCTATTCAATAAAATAAAGTTGAAGTTTGGATCAACTTAGAAAAAAATGGTTATTAAGGCGACTTAAAGCCCAAACCAATTAACAAAACTAGTTTAAGATAGAACAGAAGATGGGTAGCCCCATGTTATCTCTCTCAACCATAGAAAAGATGCAGAGGGTTGGACCGATTCCAAAAGTAAATACCATTTGGTAGCGGAGGAGGATTGCTATTTGGCACAAAATCTTTTCGTTCAAAACTGTATGAATCCTACTTGCTCAATTTTTATTGAATAATCATATAATTTAAAAAATAAATCAAATTAGGAAAACTGGTGGAAATCACCCTCGCATTCTTCGTCCATATAAAGTGAATCTATTCAAGTTCGTATCAAACATATTATTTCCCTTATTTGAGTTGGTAAAGAAATTGAATGGTAAAAATTAAATTGAATATCAGCAATATTTATACGATTTAATAATTACTTATATAACGAAAAATAATTTTGAAAGTATTGAAATGAAAAAATATATAATATTATTAAAATATGAAATCTCATAAAGAATAATTGTAATATATATATTTATATACCGTATGGTGGCCGACTAGACCGAATACCCGAGTCCACGGCCGACTAGGTCGAATTCCCGAGTCCGCGAATGATCAGACCGAGTACCCCGAGTGCACCGACCACTCTTAATATGAACATAACATGTCAGTGTGCTCGGCCTAAACCCGTACTTACGCCAGGATGATTATGGCGAGGTTAATTTACGTAATGCACCGGATTAACCCCCTAATTTTTCGGGGCCCAATCCTTAATCACGGCCCAATAAGAATCACTATAAATAGGACCCCAACGAGGTATGTAACGAATCTTTTTCAACTACCGCATTTATTATGCCGAACACTTACTTGAGCGTTGGAGTGTCTTTGCAGGCACCCCCCTCACTTCGGACTACTCAGAGCAGGACGAGAAGACTTAGACCCAAGACCAGACCCGCTACAACAAGGATAATTAAAGTGTGTATCCTAACACAGGAACAATTTATATTTCAAAAAATGTGAAATTATATGTTTATTACTATAAAGTTTTTATATGAGTATTGTTTTCACTATTACCTAAAATAACTCAACAAGATTCATGTTAAGAAATGTGGTATTGACATTGGTATGCCAATTCTCTTAGTTATGATATGAAACAATAGCTTGCAAGTAGAATTTGAACGAATCTGAGCATTGCAACTGAAGAGAAGGTCTCATCATAATCTACATTATGAATTTACTTGAAATCTTTTGCAACCAATTGTGCTTTAAAGGCATTAACCTTACCATCCATGTCAGTCTTCTTCTTGAAGACCCACTTACACCTTATCCTTTTGTAACCAATCACGCCTTAAAGGTATTAACATTACCATCTATGTTAGTCTTCTTCTTGAAAACCCACTTAGACCCTATGAGTTTTACCCCTTCAGGTGGATCATATCTAGTTATGTACATGGAATATTCCATCTCAAATCCCATGGCCTAAAGCCACTTCTTATATTTAGGCCCAGTAATGGCCTCCTTGTAAGTCACAAGCTCGGGCTCATCTTGATCCATGAGTAGCACATCACCTTCTTGAGTTAGAAGAAGTCCATTTGTCTCATGTTGATGATGTACCCTATAAGACCAATGTAGTTCTTGTACTACTTGAATTGGTAGTCGACTCACAACATCTTGTGATGTTGGTTCATTTTCCATTATAGATGATCAACATTTTGTGATACTTTAAGCTCTTCAAATTCTACATTCCTCCATTGTTAGTGATTATTAGGTCAATAAATGATGTTAGACTCCTAAGGTTTTAAGTTTTAATGATAACAAACATAAATATTTTTTATAGAAAAGTTTTCTAAACATGTAGTAAGATGAATAGATCATAAGACAAATAGTTATCTAGATATGAATGTTTCACAAATAAAGCACATCATCTGTAAGATGCACGCTTTGATCTTCTATCATTTATCAAGTCTGATAACTAGATCAATTTTTTCACATGATTATGTAATAGATTGAATAGAAAAAGCTTCTTTGGTACTCACAAATAACGAAAGGAACAAAAGACATGTTTTACATTAGAAAAAGAAAAGTAGATCCCATAAATCGTGAAATTTCTCATAAAAAGTTGCTTTGACTTAGCACACACATGCCTTGACTCGTTTGGTACCTAAAAAGTGATAAATAGCTTCATTGATTAGATACCAAGTGAAAATTTGGTGAAACATATTTAATGTATCAACGAACACTTCTTCCCACAAGG